ATGATGATTATAAATTATTGCATTTTAGTATTGGCGGTACACACGCTGCCATCAATAGAACATGAGGTTAATCTTACTTTTTTGCTTTTATTACGGCTAAAGTATACATTTCAGTAAATGTGGGTATATAATCAGTAGTTATTTTTAATTAAACAGGTATTATCCCGTGGTAATTATGAAATATTGTATTCTTCTGTTAGACCTACACACGTTGCATCTTGCGTCGATTAAAGAGAGGAATAATTAATTGTTATATGTGTACATTCCAGTAAATTTATACATTGTTTGTAGATATGATTTGTTTTTTAACTTAATAAACAAATACCCCAAAAATACATAATGAATAAAATACAAAAGAGATACAGGAAATTAAATATATAAACATCAAGATAGTTTACAGCTGTTTTTATACAGGGTGAGTCTTAAATAAGTGCAAATATTCTCAGGGCTGGGAGATCTCGATAAAAGAAACATATTTTCTCTTTACTGTTTTTCAAATAAATCCAAAATAACCAAGTTATTTTATTTTGAAAATTTACAAAATATATTTTTTCTAACATTTTGAGAACCACTGGATCTTTTCTGGATTTTCTTTCTTCTAAATTTAATCTACTACCTATAGTACCTATGTTGCCATATTATCAACAAATTATATTTTTTAACTAATAACTAAAATAGTTTCCCAAAAATTTTTCAAAAAATTCCAAATTTTCAATTCTTTTTTTCGCGAAAAAAAACATAATCGTGTTTCTGGGGTCGAAATATACTACACCTAAAAATATTTGCACTCATTTTAGATTCTCCCTGTATAATCCTTGTATGATAAAATTTCCTCAAAATATAATAGACAATAGAAAATACATTTTAAAGATATTACAAATTACTTAATTCTATTTATCTAATTTATTAGATATACATATATCATTTTCGTTTTTATTCATTAGATTAAAACATAATTAAAAGTTTATTTGATTAAAAAATATTAGATATATCGATAATAATAAATAACATAATGACATCTATTTAAAAAAAATAATTTTTAGGAAATAAATTTGCCTGGGAATGATTGACATGTTCAAATCTTTTTTTTATTTTAAGTTTTTATGTTAATTTTTAATAAGTGACATATAGGGGTCAGCTCAAAAGAAATTATCATCGATTGATATTTTTAATGATATAAATTTAACTGATTGATTTTATTCACATATTAATGAGATTAAAAAAAGTAACATGGGTATAGACGCAACGGAAAAAGGGTGTGGCAAATTGACACAAATATACCTAATTAATTTTGGATTTTTTATTAACATCATTTATTATACTACATTTCGGAAACTTCGGCGGTATATTCTGCAGATAAAAATAAGTAAAAAAGTTCGTATAAATGTATGTTCTAAAATGCTTAGTTTCGGTGATGCAGGGTGTATAGAAATTTCATTTTTATTTCGATTTTTTCCAGATCATTTCTGAAGTAACGTCAATATTTGGATGGAAATTGTTGTCTGGTAGTTTTTTTAACATGAGAAATTTGATTCAGATGTTAATATGACTCCTACTTGTAGAGGGCGCCACCTACATATTTTTAACTGGTTTGAAGAGTAGTAACTTTTTGTTCGTACCTGTATAAAACTATTGAGTAAAAAATATACATTTACCACGTTTTTTACGAAAAAAAGGTTTCTTGGTAAAAATCGCTACGAGTAATAATTCTCGAGATATTTGAAACCGAAATTATCATTACCTGTCATCATAGGCATAAATTAAAGATGTTGATTAAATTAATAGTTATTAGACTGAAATCATAAATTTGAAATTATTTTGTCCCAAAAGTTCAACAGAAACTATTTTATCATCATTTTTTCGCAGAGAAATTTATGATTAATTTAAAGAAAATAAAAACTTTTCAAATTTATCATTTCATTCAAATAACTATCAACTCAACATGTGTTTATTTTGTGTCAATAATAACATGTATTAACTATTCCAACGGTTGCTCGTAACAATTTTTATCAAAAGGCATTTTTTTACGTAAAAAATCACGGAAATGTATATTTTTTCACTCACTAGTTTTATACAGGTACGGACGAAAAGTTATTACTATTCAAAACAGTTAAAACCTTAGTTAAAACACATGTAGGTGGCGCCCCCTACATGTGTTTTACCTTTGGAAAAAATCGAAATAAAAATGAAACTTCTACACCCTGTATCTCCGAAACTAAACATTTTAAGACGTACATACGAACTTTTTTTTATGCTGCCGAAGTTTCCGGAATACAGTTCGGACCACCCTGTATTTAAAAATATATTTTATATAACACTTCTTTGTAAGTTACTTATCGAAACATTCACACAGATATTTTAATACCGTATGATCGAAAAAAACGGCGCGGCGCCCAGTTGGCTTGGAAATGAACATCGATGATATTCCTTATTTAAATTTACATATAAAATGACAGCGATCTTCATTTTATAATTTTTTCAATATAGTACCCTACTCACTATTGCGCATGAGGGTAGAGCCACAGTTTAATTTAATATTCGGTGGTTGCATATTTTGACCACTTCTAACTCTAACAAAACTAATATTTAAAAATAAATAATATATTGATCTAGTTAAAATTAATTTATTATTTATTTTATATTCGAATAAAATTTGACGCATAAAACTAGGTATAGATATTCTTTAAAAAGTGAAATTCCTCATTAATGCACAACAATTTAAAGCCAAACAAAGAATGATTTAATTAACAGCATGTAATTTCTTACATCCTCCTTCTCTATTTCCTTTCTTTCGAGCTAATAATTCAGAATTACAAGAATATTAACGGCAGGAAGTGCAATTAACAAATAATATAATCATTCCTCGTTAGAAAATGTAAATTTTGTTCTGGCGACTGGTTTTGTAATAAAATCGTCAGCATTTATCGCCTATAGTTTACTACTGCAATCTTTTCTAAACGCGCTACTAAGACAGCTCTTTTAAGCTATTGACATAATAAATCTTTGTTATTTATCTCATTCGTCTAATGAGAAATAAAAAAAATCACTTCTTAGGTTAATAACGATAACAAAAAACACCCTTATGTTAATACTAAACAATTCCTTTACTTGCCTGTTTGTGTTCATCTTCTAAATCCCCTTTGATTTTCCTGCAAATAAATCACAGCTCTCACTAGATACTACCCCAAAGTGTTCAGAAAGGGTACAGCCATCTATTTCTAACTCATTATCACTGAGATTCGAACATAATTTTTAATATTATTCAAACGTTTTTGCCCAAAACCTACAAAAATTGGCCATTTTTGAGGATATGACATTTATTGAAATGGGCCAATTTCAATTGTTTCATTACATTGTCAGTTGAACTCCTTGATTTTACGATTTACGATTTGTTTCAATAAATAAGCGAAACGACTATTTTTATTATTTTTTTATTATTTCAGTTTTAGTAGTAAAAAATGCTATACAGGGTGCGGCAATAGTGCGTCGGGGATCTGTAGCTCCTAGAATAAAAAACTTGGGAATTTTGTTTAAGTGCATAGGTACCTAAATTATGTACGAGGATGTATTTCACGAAAATATTTTAACTTCTATAGGGTGGCTCAAAAAAGTGTAAGTGGATCGCGATGATTTTTTTTAAATGGAACACCCTGTATATTATTGTATTTTTGGCTTCCTTTCCGACCCCTTTATGTAAACCTAAGATATGAGTATAAATAAAAAATATATATTTTTTAGCCTTTCTTAAAAAATTATTAAAAATACATGAACTGTCCTGAAATAAAAATTATATTAGGTATTTACTTTACATGGTCTGTACTTACTTTGCTATAAATATGGCAATTGTAAATTATACAGGATGTTCAAAATTCTACGCCAAACTTTCTAATATATAAAATAATTTTTCTTCGGTTTTTTTTTTAAATGGAACATGGAACACCCTGTATATAATTTTTCAATAGATGGAGAACTAAAAAATGAACAATTTTTTTATTTACAATATTTCAAAATTTTTACCGGTTTCACAGATAATATGCGCGGTTTTATATTTTATTTGGTATTTTCCACAGTATATTTTTATCATAGCCACCCTTTAGCCACCCAATGATTTTTCTCTCGTATTTTATGGTTGAAAGAGCCATATGAAATAATACTGCGTGTATCTGGGAAACCATTAACAATTTTGAAATACTTTAAATACAAAAAATGTTCATTTTTTAACTCTCCATCTAATAAAAAAATAATATACAGGGTGTTCTATTAGGTAACCAATTTAAAAAACGACGAAAAAGTATTTTATATTTTAGAAAGTTTGGCGTAGAATTTTGAACACCCAGTATGATTTAAGCTTGCGATATTTATAGAAAAGTAAGTATACATATAGGCTATCTAAAGTAAATATCAGTTGTAATCAGTTTCTTCATGAAGGTTGAAAATTTTATATTTTTTATTTATTTATTAATGTCTTAATTACCGAAATGTATTTACTCATATCTTACGATTATGTAAAGTGATCTGAAAGGAAGCCAAAAATGCAATAATATACAGGGGGTTATATATAAAAGAAAAATAATCCCGATCTACTCACACTTTTTTGAGTCACCCTATAGAAGTTAAAATATTTTCTTGAAATACATTCTCGTACATACTTTAGGTTTACACTTAAACAAAATTCTCAAGTTTTTTATTCTAGGAGCTACAGATGCCCGACGCACTATTGCCAAACCCTCTGTAGATCGCCATCAGGATAATCGTTTTATAAGTAATCTTTACTTAGAAAAAATATATAAAACAAAATACATAACAATACAAAAGAATGTTAATAAGATTTAAGATAAAATTTAATAAAATATATACAAAACTAACCAATAATAGTTATAAATAAATAATATATTGGCGTTCTCGACACATGAATTTTGTAAAAAAAAAATCATTCGTATTTTTAAATGATGAGCAAATGATAAGTGATTTATTTAAGTAAATATTGATTTTTTTTTCAGATGTTATGCCGGAAAAGATCTAGTCACTGCCATTTTCCTACCATTAAATATACGAATTTTAGAAGATAAGAAGATGACGACCATTGTAGAGCTAGAGAGTTGGTTGATATACCAATGCATAGCTACAGAATGTTCCAACTGTCTTTGTAAGTATCTTATTAGCTTACTACTTAATGGACATTATCGTATATTATACTTGCTTGTAGTGCATACAAGATTTTATTTTTTACTTCATCATTATTTCACTATTTTTGGTTAATTTCTAATACAATGATAATACTGAATTTTTCTTTTTGTTGTTTATTCTATGTTTAACAACGAATACAACAAAGATATTTTCGTCAAACGTATTACAGGTATTACACATTTTAATATGGCAACACTGTCGCTTTCAGTTCCACACCGTCTTCGATATGCCTTCGTTGGCCGAATTCAAGAACAGTTAACCTAATAGGACTGCTCATTCAGCCAAAAGTGTCCGCCAGGTGCATGCGAAAACTACTCGCTTTGTGACGTCATTGTAGCCCTTGTCATGGTTATTAGTCCTTATCCGGCAACCAGTAATACACACACGGGCATTATTGGTTACCGAATGCAAAACGTTCATTATTTAGTTTATTTATTTAAACACCTTATATGTATGCAGTATAGAAAATTAACTGTATAAATCGTATTAGATACTCGGATAATGCATTTTTAAGAACAGCAGTTCCCAGCATCACCTTTTCAAAGCATTCTTTTTAGAGTACTTCCATATTTTGCTTTAAAATAATTAATAAACAAAATCGTGGGCACTTGGTATGCACTTTGTCACAATCCACAACACAAAATGAACGTATTTATACACTCTATAGCTCTAAAAGTTTTAAAGACACCTTTTTCACATTTAAAATTGACAAAATAATTAATACAAAATTTCTCAGCTGTTATTTTTATAAGTTTACCATAGGCAACTAATAATACACACTATCATGACAAGACCACGAAGACTTTGACAAGGGCTACAATGACGTCACAACTCTCAGCTGAAGCGCGGGAAGAGGCGAACGTACGTCTTATGAGGATGAGCAATCCTATTAGTTTACCGTTCTTGGGCCGAATTAGAGAAAATAATGATTTATGCGTTGGCCGCAGAAGTATTGGTGTCTCCACCGTACAGCATTTAAGACATAAGGGGAAATCAAATCAGTTTTGTCACAAATTCGCCCATTAAGGTGCGTTTCCACCAAAAAACATTGACAAGCAAACATTCGCAACTGTTTGTGAATGTTTGAAAACGTTTGCAAATGTTGGTTCGTTTCTATTTTTCTCTTTTTGAACAGGACAAGAATTCGCGAATTAACAGTGAGTTTGTGAACATTTGTCAACAATCCGGAATATTTGCACAAAATGGCTCCGCGAAAAACAGCTATTGTAAATGCCGCTGCTTTTATTATAATGTTGGTTGATTTCCATATTTCGGGTTTTAATCTATATAAATGGAAGATTCCATCCGCAACCTGGAATGGAAATCTTGCAATGGTCTAAGACACTCGAAGAAGTTTCTGAGGGCTTATGATCAAGAAAAATCACAGATCTTTCTGGGTCTGAGTAAGAACAATCTTCGGATTGTCACGGGGTTTTTAACAGGACACTGTCTCCTCAATGAACACCTCAGTAGATTGAAACTAAGAAGAAACGGCGAATGCAGATTCTGTGGGGAAGATGGGGAAACACCAGTACACCTCATCACTGAGTGCGCCGAGACGACAACCATTCGTGCCATGAATTTTGGTACGACTGATATTGGAGATGGAGAACTACCCTCTATAAAACCGTCCCAGATACTGGCTTTTGTCAAAGCCCTGGGACTGTATGATGAGTTATGATTCAAGAAAGGGGGACACAATGGATCTGTAAGGTCGAAGTGATTAACCCCCCTCCCACTCATTCTAAATTCTAAATTCTAAATTCTAAATCTATATAAATTAATCAATTTCAAGCACTTTTCATTATCCCACTCCATTTTTAATTTTCATCGACACAAAATGACAAGTTCAAATTCAAGTGGTCCCTGTTTAAAAAAAAAGTTTCTTTTAAACCTGTTTCCACAAAACGCGCACAAACAGCAAATCCCTTTGATGTACCGACATCGGCCGGAACATCGCCAATCGGTTTGCGACCGTTCGCGAACGTTTGCAAACATTCTAAATAACATCTCCACCGGACAAATAAATGTGTTTGCAAATATTGCTGATCATTCGCCAACATTTGCAAACATTATGCGCGCTTGGTTCAAACGCACCTTTAGGTTGCGTATCTTCCCAATTCTTTCAATCAACGATTATATTCTGTACTAGGTACCCTAATGTCCATGGGCGTTACAGTTTTTTTACCTACATATTTGGTATCCTAGTAATAATGTTCAGTGAGTGATGAAGTAAAAAATAAGTTATATTATTATTTATTTCATTAAATTCTTATACGTACATATTTATAAATTTAACTATTAAAAAAAACGTATTGTTTTTAAATGCCTTTGTTTTATTTTTTAGTAAATTATGTATATACAAGTACTATTATCACAAACCACAATTTTATAATCGTTTAAAATATCGTGGTTTCAATTAATTTATATTTATTTAATCTTAAAACCTTAATGTTATGTTTTTATCATTTGTTTAAACTGTTAGATATAGTTTATTACGCATTCCATAATAGTTTTTGTTTTTATTTTAATTTTTGTTTTATTTTATAGAGTTTTGTAAGGCTTATTTCCTATCATCCCGTTTTTTTTGGTTCTCTTTGTGATTCGCTGCCTTTAGAGAGTATCAACTAGGTAAGTTTTTCAAGAAATAATACACTTTTACTTTACTAACAATAATAAATAACGTTAATTACTAATTATCTCTTAACTAGAGCGTTAATTAAGTAGGATTGAATGTTACTGTAAAATAATAGCTTTTACTAACAGATGCAATAGTTTATAATTTGAAAGGAAGTGCAACAGAATGTCTATCAAGACTGTCATCCATATGTTCTCTTCAGGCATATTGTAATCATGCGAAAGAGGAAGTATATATAGCGAACTATAGATATTTTACGCCTACATTAACTTTTTCTGTCACAGTCGATTGACTTTTTCGCTCCATAAATCTGTTACTTACAATGTATATACAGGGTATTTCAAATATTAATTGTTCCAATCTTACCAATCTTTAGCCCACTGTCACACAGAAAGCAAGTAAAGCTTGACTTTCATGCATCCGTTATCCGACGATACGATGATACGATATTAGTTTTATTGGTTGATTTTAAAGACTTCGATTGGTTAGAAACGATTAACCAATCGAAGCCTTTAAATTGAAGCACAATTGAACCAATAAAATTAATATCGTATCGTCGGACAACGGATGCATGAAAATCAAGCTTAAAGCGTTTTAGAGTGTAAAAATATTAAAGGTTTTTTTTTATACAGGGTGTCCCAGAAATAAGTGCAAGTATTTTAAGGGGTAGTAGATCTGGCCAAAAGAAACATATTTTTTTGCCATTTTTAAAATAATTTGATAACAATCGAGTTATTTAACTTTTAAATTAAAAAAGAAATAATTAATTTTAAAATAAAATTTAAAGATTTTGGAAATTTGGAAATTTTGAAAATATGAAAATTTTTCAAAATGTTTTCTTTTTTTAAGTTTTGTCAGAGGTTTACTGTTTTGAGTAACATCTCCAAATGAATTGGAAAACCTAAAAATTCAATCAGCTAACCTGTTTAAATCTTGACTATACTGTTGAATAGCTGCTATAATTGTTTATTATTTATCTCTCGAAGCACTATAAACAACTTTCCCGAAACTGAACAAATGGCACTCAAAAGTTTTACAATATTTTCCGGAAATGTCAAGAAAAATATAAAATTTTCAATTTTTTTTTTCGTAAAAAACACCTCAAGGGCGTGTTTACGGGATTTCCTGTACTACCAGTTAAAATATTTGCACTTATTTCTGGGATGCTATCTATAATATTAAGAAGCTCTAAACGCTACACGCTTTTGTTCGGGCCACTTGCCACTTGTATGTTTGGTTTGATATTTATTTCTAGTCGTAAAAGACGCTTTAAACGCTTTACACGCTTAATCGTTATTATTATGATTAATCGTGTATGAATTTTGAAACTATAACAGTCATTGTTTATCTTTAAATTCTCTCTGTAGATTATGTATATTGTTAAGTCATTTAGTTCATATCAGCATACCATGTGAACTATACGAACAGTTGCGTAAAAAAATTACACATTATTTGTATTGTAATTTTTTTATCTTATCGTAGCTATTGCTATTGTTGGGATTAGTAATAATATTGTTGTAAAACAAGCTTACTTACTTAGGTATATTTGAATTCAGAGTAATAAAAAAGAATATGTTTAAAATTATCCTCTTTCTAAAATAGTAGGTACTTTTTTTAATAAAATTGTTAATAAATTACTTACAGCTAATTGATAATTATTATTAATTTTGTTAGAATAGATCGCTTAACTTGATTAAAAATGTTTCCTAATATTGCGATAGAGAATCTCCAATATAATTGTTAAGAGTTGTTCTTTTGTTTAGTTGAAAATAACTAAAAATAAATGTTAAAAAATAAGTGCAATGCGTTTTTCTACAATTACCAGTAATGCCGCTGGTATAATTCAAATTAGATAAGGTGGCAACACTGCAAGGCTTGCAGTTCCAGGAGAATAAACCTGCGGCACTAAAAAGTTTTTTAAAGGCTTCCCGGAAAATGTCATAAGAAATTAACTTTAAAAAAAACCTTAAGTCGTGTTTCTGGGGTCAAGATTTTCTACCAGTTAATATACCGTATGATCGAAAAAAACGACGTCCAGTTGGCTGGGAAATGACGATCGATGACATTTCCCATATAAAATGACAGCGATCTTCATTTCATAGCCATCGCTGACGTCGTTTTTTGTCGATCATACAGTACTTGTACTTAAGTAAGAGTCGCTCTGTATATTCTTAACTTGACCTTTAATTTGCTAAAATATAAAATAATTTGTTTCGATCAAGCTTGCTTAAATGTTTCTCCTACCATTTATTTTGATGCTTTTAAAGCTATTTGCCTTGCATACCTTAAAAGTATATTATTCATTTATACGTGCCTTGTATGGCGATTGACATTAGTATACCAGGTACGAAACAGAGACTAACATTATTAGTAATTACCACATTTTAAAACGCAAATTGTATTAAAAACGACAAAATAAGTTGACTGTTAAATTGATTATTATTTTTTTAGTTGTTATACCGATCACACGCCACACAGGTAACAATTTCTAAAACATCTTTCTAGGATTCATAATAGTCCAATGTTATTTAAGTCCGGACACAATGTCTTTCCGGATTTAGACACTTTGCGTGTCTTCTAAGGCTACCATGATGTCTTTTCTTTCTTTAATGCATACGATATAAAATTAATAATTTGACTATCCTCAGGCTTCTTCTTTATTGTATTTTATGGTATATACCTGACAGATGCATGGTATTTTACAGGATTCGTTCCGGTAAATCATTTAAGCTACCCAAGCTGTCCCACATACACTAAAGTTAAATACTGACTTGTTGATTAATATTAGTAAATATTATTTCATAGATAAGATAAGCTATAATTGAATAAATAATATTTTTAAAACTGACTAAATAAAACCTTTAAACCCATCTCGTCTCATTCATCCATTTTTATTTTGGTTATCGTTTTGGATTTGCATTATTCTTGGTCCTTTCGGGCTTTTCTTTTAGAAGACCCTTTAATCGGGTTAACGTTATTATCTTTTCAGTCATGACGGAAAGCACTTTCAAGGCCAGAGACATCGGATTGAGGGCTCAAAAGAAAATCCTGAGCCGCATGGCCGGGAAAAACATCGCCAAAGTTTTCATCGATGACGTCACCGCTTCCCTCCTGGATAACTTGTATCGATTAGCTAAACAATACGTAAGTTCGAATTTTTCCTCCGTAATAATCTAATTTATAAATACAGGAATTTCTTAAATAAATAAAAATGTTTTCGAGGGATGTTTTATACCAATTAAACTTATAGTTACGTAATCGAGGGCGCGATTTTTTTTAAATTCATTGTTGCCAACTAACTGGAACGGGCTGACACTTTAGTTTTGTATTAGGAGTTTTTGGTTTAAATAAATAGTGTATATTTTTTCCTTAAAAATGTTGACTACTAGAGCTTGCAATCGAATATTGTTCTTTTTAGAACCTCTTTTAGTCCGACGTTTACAAGATTGCTTAATAGCCGTAAAAAACTCATCGCAACTTTATTAGAATATTTTGAACGGGAAAGCGGTAGTAATGCCCCGTTATCTCCCTTAAGTGCTGTTACGAAGGTGAGTTTTGTTGATATAAATAATAACTGTTTATATATTTATAATTAATTTATTTTGTTTCCTAAAATATTTTGATTAAAAGAAAATATGTAAAAGTGGGCAACGCTGTGCCGGTCAAGCTTAATTATGTAACTAAAAGTTTATTTGATGTGAACTATAGGTAAAGAACTATGATTTTCCTGTTTTCTATTAAAAATATTGTTGACATTTTGAGAGCCGCTGATTTTTTCTGTTTCTAAATTAAATAGAATACCTATGTTGTCACGTTTACACGAAAGTATGATATTATTTAACTTTTCAAATCCAATCTAATCAACTGGTATTGCAAAATCTTTGTTATTACTTAGTTATTTTTGTTTTAGTCAAATAATAAGAAAGAGGCAGAAAAACTCATCAAAAACATCATTAAAATAGTCATAAAATTGGGAGTATTACACAAAAACAATTTGTTATCCGAGGAGGACTTAAAGCAAGCCGAAAAATTCAAAAACAAGTTTAGGATGGCAGGTAATGTATATTTTTGTATTACACTATATACAGGGTGGTCCGAATCGTATTCCGGAAACTTCGGTAGCATATTCTGCAGACGAAAATAAGTAAAAAACTTCGTATAAATGTATGTCCGAAAATGCTTAGTTTCGGAGATACAGGGTGTAGAAATTTCATATTTATTTCGATTTTTTCCAAATAATTTCTAGGTGACGTCAATATTTGGATGAAAATTGGTGTTTGGAGGTTTTTTGACATTAGAAATTTAATTTTGATGTCAGTATGTGTTTTAACTGTTTTGTTTAAGCTAAGAGTTGCAACTTTTCGTCCGTACCTGTATAAAAATACTGAATGAAAAAATATACATTTCCGTGATTTTTTACGTAAAAAATGTCTCTTGGTAAAAATCTCTACGAGCAACCGTTCTCAAGATATTTACAATGGAAAGAGTCAATATATGTCATTATTGACTAAAAATAAACATGTTGAGTAGGTAGTTATTTGACTCAAATGATTAATTTGGGAATTTTTTACTTTTTTAAATTAATCATAAATTTTTCTTCGAGAAAATAATGAGAAACAGTTTCTGTTGAACTTTTGGCACAAAAACATTTCAAATTTATGATTTCAGTCTAATAACTATTTAGTTAACACGTTTAATTTATGTCAATGATGAGAGGTATTGATAATTTCCAAGGGACTTTTTTTACGTAAAAAACCTCTACTGAATGTATATTTTTTTACTTAGTAGTTTTATACAGGTACGGACAAAAAGTTATTACTCTTGAAATCAGTTAAAATATATGTCGGTGGCGCCCCTTGGAAATAGGAGTCATATTATCATTAAAATCAAATTTCTCATGTCGAAAAACTCCCAGACACCAATTTTCATTTAAATATTGACGTTACTTCAGAAATTATTTGGAAAAAATCGAAATAAAAATGAAACTTCTACACCCTGTATCTGCGAAACTAAGCATTTTAAGACATACCTTTATACGAACTTTTTTACTTATGTTTATCTGTAGAATATGCTGCCGAAGTTTCTGGAATACAGTTCGGACCACCCTGTATATTGTATATACTATACTGTATTAACAACAAAATCTAGAATATTCTCAATTTTATTTTCTGTCTGTTACAGGCATGACGATCATATCCTTCTACGAAGTCGATTTCAGTTACGACAGAAACTACTTGGTGCAGGCGCTGGAAGAATCTCGAAAAACCCTCCAGTCGATCATCTCCAAACACTTAACGGACAAATCGATGGCCAGAGTGGACAGCGTCTTCTCGTTCTTCGGCAACGAATATTTTCTGGACGCTATCTTCAGGAGGGACAGCGACTATAGAGAAGCACTGGGCAGAGTGGTCAATGATTTAAACAAAGCCATCGAAAATGGCGATCTTTGAATAATATTCTCGATAGGTGGAGTTGAACGAGGTTTTTGGTGGTTTTTGTAAAACTATTGTTTCAGAAACTTATGTTGTGGGAGTAGAGAGAGACCAGGGAATAAATATATGGTCATTTGAGAAATGTATCATGCTAGTTATTGTATTTAAAACGGTATAAATTCAACCATCTAAAGAACAATCAAGATGAATTTAGATATATCACTGTTATACAGAGTGGTGGAATTATAGGAAATAGTTTTTTAGACCATATACCTGTGTAAGTAGGTTTATTTAAACTAAAATTTAAACTTATCTAGTGCTCTACAGAGGGTGTTCCATAATGAAAGTGTATCAAACTTGTGTCTTTTTTAATGGAGCACCCTATACCGGGTGCATCTCAAAAGTGGCTCACCCCTATAACTTTTTTATTTTTTCAGTTAAAAAAAACGAGATTTGGTATGTTAGTATATGACATAAATTAGGATTGATTGACGTATTCAATTGTGTTCGGTCACTTCCTGTTTCACCGGAAATGACTACAACTTTTGATTTTTAAATGGCACCCTCGGTATTTTTTTTACTTTATTCGATAGAAAATAACACTCTGAATACACTGACATATTATATGTCAGCTTTTGACATTTTCGCATATGGTTTATTTGAAATTATAACTTGCGGTTCGTTACGAAAATTTGACTCGAAATACCAAGTGTGCGGTATCAAATTATTGGAATAAAAATTTGAGATATGATTAAAAATACGATTTGAGCATTTTCTAACTGGCCAGAACAAGACACTAAAAGCATTACACGATCAAATCTATTTTTCCAAGGTTCCTTGATTAAGGATTAGTGTTTTTAACATAGTCATGGCACTCTAGATTGAATTTTAAAATACGATTTTTTATTAAGCGAGAATGTCAAAAGTTGACATCTGATATGTCATTCTATTCAAAATGTCATTTTCTATTGAATAAACAAAAAAATACCGAAGGTGCCATTTAAAAATCAAAAGTTGTAGTCATTTCCGGTGAAACAGGAAGCGACCAAAAACAATTGAATACGTCAATCAATCCTAATTTATGTCATATACTAACATACCAAATCTCGTTTTTTTATCTGAAAAAATAAAAAAGTTATAGGGGTGGGCCACTTTTGAGACACACGCGGTATACAGGGTGAGTCTTAAATAAGTGCAAATATTTTAGGGGTAGTATATTTCGACCCCAAAAACACGATTATGATTTTTTTTTAATTTTTTAGGAAAATTTGGAACTTTTTGAAAATAATTTTGGAATATTTTTTTTTAGTTTTACCCAGTTAAAACCCATAATTTTTTGATAATATTAATTTTTTTATAATATACTTGTTTTTTTTATATTTACATTGTAATGTTTTAATTTACATTGTAGTTATGTCTATGTTTAAGTGTCTGGTTTTCTTGCATGTATATGAGCCATACGATAAATAAATAAATAAATTTTGATAATATGGCAACATATAAGGCAGTAGAATTATATTTACAAGAAAGAAAACCCAGAAAAGATCCAGTGGTTCTTTAAATTTAAGCAAAAAATATATATTTTTTTTTGGAAATTTGCAATGTAAAATAACTCGGTTACTTTGGACTTTTATTTTTACTATTTGAAAAACGGTAAAGAGAAAATATGTTTCTTTTATCGAGATCTACCAGCCCTGAAAATATTTGCACTTATTTAAGACTCACCCTGTATAATGTGTACTTAAAATTTGTTCTTCATTTTCAGAAAATGTTGAATACCCATTTCAAAAACCTTACATATGTATATTCAACATAGTTTTTTTAACAAAACTGATTTTAATTTTCTTTCTAGAGTCGTAAAACCAATTATAATATAGGGTGTTCGGAAAAAGTAGTACCACTTTGAAATATAACTTTTTTGCGACACTTTGTAGGGTTCCAATTAATTTTAAAAATCGAGAATAGAACTTTCGTTGTCTTTGAGTGTATGTGTGTTACAAGAGGCACCACCCTGTATATATGCAACAATAACTAAAATGCTCTCTACAATTGACTTTTATTGGTCTCTCCCCTTAAATATTCTAATTGTTATTTATATTTAGGACGTAAATCCTTCAAATAGTTACACCTTGTGTAACTGAACTTATAAGTAATAAGAAAATGATTCCTTTTTAACAAAGAAGCCAAAGGTTTTAATTAAACAAAATATTAATGAAAGTTTTTTAATTAATGCCTAGAGCATGTACTGAATTATTACACTTTTGGATGATACGAGTATATATCATTAATTATAAATGAAGAATAATAATTTTATTAATATAAAATTAATTAAACCAAACAATCGTTATTTAAGGTTTTTTGGCCTCATTTACATTATTACTTTTTTTTATTAAGAGTATTTTTATTTTAGATTATTTACCTACATTTTTTTAAGCGACTATTTTGCCTTCTTTGTTAAAATTACGTCAAGCAAATACCAAATATCTCTCATAAAGCTATATACATTTTGTGATTTTTTTGTTTAAAGAAACTCTTTATTAATGACGAATTTATTTTGATAAAGTGTATTGTTTTTATGTGCTAGTCCAAGCCATGCGCTATAGGGTGTATAAGGAAAATACTAACTGCATTTTAGTGTATAATAAAGTTAGGATGATTTCGTAAAAGATTGTTGAAATATTCCATTTTAAAATGATACTGTACTATTAATAGTACAATACAACACACACTCTACATTTTCAGAGATAAATATTGCCTTGAAAATCGATGCTAACTCTAACGTCGTTTTTTTTGCGACAAATATATCTATTCATAATATATATCGAAATTAAAGAATATATTGGTAACATATATTACCAAAATTTACTGTATATACTGTTTGTAAAAATACAGACAATATAAACTTAAGTGCTTGAAAGAATTTACTTAGACCATTAAAAAAAGACCATACATAACATATCTTGCCTGAATTTCTTGTCCATTACTTTACTAAAAATCTCAACAAATAGAAACTAATATTTCTTTTTAATAATTGTCACTATATACTCAATGAATTGTTATGTGTTTTAGTAATGAAAATCAGTAGTGTAATTTACTGTAAAAAATGGCAGTGTTTTGTCAAACAATAGTGTGATTAGCAATAATAATGTGACTCCTGGTGTGTTTTACAGTTGTCTAAGAATATATCACAATAATATAAAAGATTTAGTTATGTTGAAAGAGTTGTCCTGCATATGCCCTAAAATAATCTTACCAAAATCAGTAATTATTGAATAAGTATACCTTGAAATCGAAAAAAAAACGGCTTTACACTGGCCCAAGGTCATTATGACGACGTTTTTTATATACCCAGGAAAACTCTAGGACATATCTTTCGTTACTGTAAGAAAAAGACAATGTATTTTTGCACTATATAAAATTAGAATCAAAACGTAACCAGTTTAAAACAAAGCCGATTTCGACCGGACAACCGTTGGTCATGGTTGACAGATAAATAATGATTTAAACGTCAGTTGTTAACAGAAGTGTCTAGCCCTAGCAGTCAACTTTTAAGCTTGACCAATCAGGTTGGTTAGCGTGGTTATTTGAAGTGTGTTAATTCATTTGTGTTTGTCAAAAACTCTAACGTGATTGGTCGGGCCTAATAGTTGCCTGCTAGGGCTAGACACAAGTGTTGTTAACCAATCGGGAGACAACTGACATTTAAAGCATTGTTTATCTGTCAACCATAACCAACGGTTGTTCCCTCGAAATTGGCTAAAGTTTTACTTTTGAAAAATGTGTAAGAAAAAAATATTTTTTTAAATAACAATTTATTAGCAAAAATACTGGAAAATTTTCAATTACTATGCAGTCAAAAAGTACTTTGTTCTGTGCTTTAAAAAAGCTTGTGAACACTATAGTATGCATATTTATGAAAAAATTACACTTTCTTAGATTTAAGATTAATTTGAGTAGTGCAAACACTCTTGCTCTTGAATAAACGTTCATTTTCTCAGCATATAGGTATGTAACAATTCCAAAAAGTATTATGTTCGCCATGACATTGTTTAAAGTATTATTATATTTTTGTATAATTAATTAGTAAACACAATTATTTAATATTGTTTTTTTTAATAAAATTTTAATTCATAGATTGAATTCCTTTTTTGGTTTATTGTTTACATATTGTGTAAAATTAATGTGGCGAAAAATTCGAGAGGTACTTTAAAAAAGGTTTTTAAATCTAATTATGAAACAAAAAGATATATTGTATGCCAGTTAACTCTTGAATTTTTTCGTGACTAAGAAATTTACACCCTGTATATTCTCACTTTTATAATGTGAATTATTGAATGATATTAGTGTACGCTATGCTTAGCCTCTTCAGTAAATTTATGTGAATATTATTTTATTTTTAGTAACAGAAATATGGATATTAATTTATTTATTTAAATCATAATAAATGTTATAAAAAAACAATGCATTCTTATTTTATAAAAAAATTTAATAAATATCTACAAAAATTAAGTATGTTACATTACAAAGCTGATGACAATTAATTAATTATATATGAAAATAATTTATGTAAAGTCAATATAACAAAAAAATAAAAAGTATATTTTACTCAGGCTTAGGGTATAGTGATGTCCATGTATAAAGCAATATTTTCTGTACCGGGTGGCCAATTAAGAATGGATGCCGGCTGAATCTCAGAAACTGCTTATCGTATAACTTTGGGAAAAAAATTCTAATAAGTAAATCGACCAAGAGAAATCGCTGGAAATTATTTTCAAGTTCGAAAAATGTCCGCTAGGGGGCGTTTCGCTGATAGCCAATCAGAAAACAGGGTTTTTCTCAAAAATATGCAGGTGAACAGGTATTTTAAATATTACTATTGTAATCATCGAGAAGTTTGTAATTTTTTTCATATAGAGTGTTTTGCTCTATCTCATAAAATAAAGTGGTGGGGGAAGGTTAAACTTGCTTTTATTAAAATAAGGATAACTCTGGTTTAGGTTAACCGATTTAAACAAACTAGAGCTCGTTTAAAAGAGCTTTTCGTCCTTAATGATCTCCAGTGTAAATTTTGTTTCCATCATTTTTTTCGTGGTAGCTAGAGGGCGCTGTTTGACATCATAACGGATATTGCGCTTTTGCATAAAAAAATTAAATAGGAGGCTATATTTCTGTTTACGCAGTTAAATAGAGCACAAAATTTCCAAAATATCAGCGCAAACTGCAATTTTTTATCTTGTCTCTAACCGGAGATATTAAGAGAACAAATTATGTTAGGCTGCCGCTTAGAATTATATAGTCTAAAAATTATAGTAGTAGGCTAGGAAACAAATATCAAAACGTTTAAGTTCTGTTTTCATGCATCCGAATTTCGGGCGTTTTCTTAAAAAAGATGATGTCAGAAGTTTTTAAACGTGTTTATGTAACATTATCGTCCATCCACATCATTTTTACGAATTTCTTGGTTAATTATACGTAGGTAGTTCTCAGATTAAAATGTCCGAAAGTCGGACAATCAATAATTTTATTAAAATTTCTAGGAATGTTGTGCCGCCATATTGCTTTTAACAGAAAACGGCCAAATTTCGTATGGCCGAAAACTAGGGGTTTATGTCAGTTGTGTCGCATATTTTGCTATGAATGTGTGGGGCTTCTTGGATACCACTTACTTTAGTAGATAGAGACGCTGGAGCGGCATATATCCATCGCTAGCTAGGTCATCGGATTCAATATGCCTGGGTTTTAATTTATGGGGTCGAATCAAGAACGAACATGGATAAATAACAATTAAATGGTATTAAAATGAAATGAAAATATATCTTTTGATATTTTGACGTAACCAATTTACCTCTTTTAGTTTCCTAGTCTACTACTATAATTTTTAAACTATATAATCCTAAGCGGCAGCCTAACATAATTTATTCTCTTAATATCTCAGGTTAGAGACAAGATAGAAAATTGCAGTTTGCGCTGATATTTTGGAAATTTTGTGCTCTATTTAACTGTGTAGAGAAATATATCCTCATATTTAATTTTTTTATGCAAACGCGCAATATCTGTTGTGATGTCAAACAGCGCCCTCTAGCTACCACGAAAAAATTTATACTGCAGATCATTAAGGAAGAAAAGCTCTTTTAAACGAGCCCTAGCTTGTTTCAATCGGTTAACCTAAACCAGAGTTATCCTTATTTTAATAAAAGCAAGTTTAACCTTCCCCCACTACTTTATTTTATGAGATAGAGCAAAACACTCTATATAAAAAAAATACAAATTTCTCGATGATTACAATAGCAATATTTAAAATCACCTGCATATTTTTGAGAAAAACCCTGTTTGCTGATTGGCTACTAGCGAAACGCCCCCTAGCGGACATTTTTCGAACTTGAAAATAATTTCCAGCGATTTCTCTTGGTCGATTTACTTATAAGATTTTTTTCCCCAAAGCTATACGATAAGTAGTTACTGAGATACAGCCAGCGTCCATTCTTAATTGGCCACCCGGTACATCTAACATTGAATTTGTTCAAATTTATACATACACAAGAAAAATTAGAGTTCATCCCTGCCAGTGAAGTATTGTTTGTAATATTTCGCGACTAGAAGGGCCACTTTTTGACCTATCCTTTTGCAACCTGTTTTCGAAAATGTTTTGGAACTATCAGGACCCCATTCTATGTATTGCATAATTTGTCTAAAAATATTTTTATTAGGTTATAAATACTCCCAAATTAAATAAATTTTTTATATAATCTTGACAAACTTACTCTATATGCTCCTTTCTAGGATTCGTAACACTTTTTAATCTGAATTCCTCTCTAATACATGATCGAATATGCCTCTCTTCAAGTGGTAAAAATGGTATATAATGATCTATGAGATTGTTTTTTATGGTATCACTATGATGAAATCCACCTAGAAATAAAACCAACCTGATTTAACAATGAAAACAAAATATCAATGATTAACTCCATACCAAGTGTTGAAATAAATTGGTAAAATGATCCGATAAAGGAAAAATAATATACTTTCTTTGCAATATTAATAAAATAACTGTTTTCCTTATTTAACCAACCTTCCTCGTTGAATATTCCTTTCTTTATAAGCCATTCGAAATCGGTAAGTGACAATTGTTCTCGACTCTTGCCCTCGGACATGTGTAGATCGTAATAATGTTCATTAATCAAATCGGCTCCTGTGTTAGAAAGGAAAATAAAAACCGACTGGGAATAGTCAATACCATCTACATTATCTCTGTAATCTATGACTGGCTTAATAGCGTTAAGCACTTCAGGCACAATTTTGTCCACTTCGTCAAATATAAAAAGTTGTTGTGGACAATCCGACATATTACCTTTCAGCCAGCTATAAAGATCACTCTAAAATTACATAGAAATAGTAGAAACAATGGCTCAACTTTCATTTAGCTGAAATCAGTTATGCAAGAAATATTTGTTTTTAGTATTTGGAGGTATTTTAAAATAGAATTTTACCTAAAATTCTTTTTGGAAATACTTTGAAAAATTATTTTTTTTAAGTGATTTTAGTTAAAAACATAACACTTTATTACATACTTTATATTCATGGACTTTACTTCTCTCAGAAAAATGCATCCTTCCAATAAAATGGTGGACATATTTACTTTTACTACCAGCCTTATATATACTTTCTGCAATAAATTTGCTAACAAAATTTTTTCCTGTCCCAGTCATGCCATGGAAGCTCAATGTTAAAGCTTTGGTTGGTGGATAATATGGGTTGAAATGGGCTGACAGAGCATCAACTGCTTCATTTAATAATGGCTGTCCATATACTCTATCGGTTAGATTTTTGACAAGTCCTATAAGAAATATATTTTTGAATAAATTACATAGTTAGCAGGAATTTTTTACTACTTACTGACTCTATTGTACTTGATCCAATTATCGTTACAGCATTCTTTAAACTTACAATACAAATTCAGATCCTCAAGTTTTGTTGGCCATTCTATCTTAAATCCTCCTATGTTAAAACAATTATTAAATTTAACATAACTCAGAAAAAATATCACAAGATTCCTAAATAACATGGTTAATATTAGCTTAATTCTATATTTTGAACTTATTTACGTTATATTTTTCATTTAAAATTTGATTCTTGTTTATGATAAATATTCAAAAAATCAAAGAAGTTTGGTGGTTATAAATGACATGAAATGACATTAAATTAATGGGTTAGGATGACAAAATCTTCTTTTCAATTTCACAACTTTGAAATTACTTTGGCATAATTACACCACGGATGGGAATTTTATTGTAGTTAGGTTTTGAGGTCACAGCTGCCAGGGGTATCCGGTCAAAATTATACTATAGTGTTCACTATCGGGTTTTTTATAAAGAAATAGATAAAAACAGTTAACATGGACAAAGTAATAACAAATCTATGGTAATAATACCTAGGATTGGTTTGTTTACATTTTGCTTTATTAATTTTTACGCGTAAAACTATTGTATAAATTAAGAGTTTTCTACATGTCCATCCTTGAATTTATTTAATACATAGTTCTCAAAATACTTGATCTATGGAACAATTTTGAAGCTTCTGTGGTTCTCCAAAAAAAGTAGTTTTGATAGAACCTAAGAACTAAAAATATTCTTTTAAGTTCTTTTTTTGAGTTAAGAAATTGTCCTTTGTGACATTCGCGGGGGTGTTAATTTCAAGAAGGGGTTATTTTTAGCTAAAATATTAATTGATTTAGAATGGCCTCCAGATTTTTCAAAAACCTCGTAAGTATTCTGTTATATTATCCCATTTACGTGCTCAGTCTTCGATTGTCACTCCATAAAAATCACTGCCGAACCGAAAATTTTTAAAATGTCCAGTTTTTTTAAAGGGAAAGCTTTGAGGGACGTCCTAAATACCTTTTTAAAAATTTTCGGTAATAATCCTGAAACTAACTCGTCGCAAAGCATTAAAATAGTAAGTGTTATATAACTTTGACATCCATACATAATACAGGTTAAGTCACATGCCAAAAGGAGCGGGATTATAAAACATATTTTAATTAATAAAAAATAAACGTTATTAACTTGCTATTAAGGTGTTTTTAATTATTGATAAGGCTTATGCAAATTTACACTCACAGGTTGCTTCTAAACCACTTGGAACAAGGCTTTATAGCGGCGAAGCAAAAAAATGTACTTTAATTCCTGGTGATGGCATTGGCCCCGAAATTTCAGCTGCTGTTCAAAAGATTTTTGCTGCTGCCAATGTTCCCATCGAATGGGAATCAGTGGACGTCACCCCAGTCAGAGGGCCCGACGGGAAATTTGGAATTCCCCAAGCCGCAATTGACTCAGTTAATAGGTAAGGGAATCCTTCTCTAACATCCAAATGAAACAGACTAGAACTATATTATTTTAGGAACAAAATTGGTTTAAAAGGACCCCTTATGACACCTGTTGGTAAAGGGCATAGATCTCTCAATTTAGCTCTAAGAAAGGAATTTAATTTATATGCTAATGTAAGACCTTGCCGAAGTTTAGAAGGGTAAGTCTTTATTTAATTGATTTTTATTTTGAATTGGGTAAACATTTGCAGAAAAGTTCTTTGCTATTATAAAAGTGTTCTCCACTAGAGGGTGTACATAGAAAAAATTTATTATTAAAAGCAAAACTTCATTTTGTAAACTGTTACCTTAACTTGTAGTAATTTTGAATTTATTTGAAGTTACAAAACATTGTATGATGATGTTGACGTGGTCACAATAAGAGAAAACACAGAAGGTGAATACTCAGGTATTGAACATGAAATTGTCGATGGTGTTGTACAAAGTATTAAGTTGATTACCGAAGAAGCATCTATGCGAGTCGCCGAATTTGCTTTCCAATATGCCATAGAAAATAAAAGGAAGAAAGTTACAGCTGTACACAAGGCTAACATTATGTATGTACCAGGTTTTTTTTTTAATTTTCATGTTAACTGTCATTTTTTTATACCTAGGCGTATGTCTGATGGTCTCTTTTTGCGGTGCTGTCGTGAAATGGCCAAAAAATACCCTGATGTCAAGTTTGAGGAGAAATACTTGGATACCGTGTGCTTAAATATGGTGCAAGATCCATCCTTGTATGATGTTTTAGTAATGCCAAATTTGTACGGTGATATTTTGTCTGATATGTGTGCTGGATTAGTGGGTGGATTAGGTTTAACTCCCTCTGGAAATATTGGCCTTAATGGAGCATTGTTTGAATCAGTAAGTTTTATTTTTTTATCTTTACACTATCTATCTTTACGTGACTTTGAAATGAAAATATTTAATCCAATTAGGGAATATTTGCTTAAATGATAAAAGTCTAGCCAATTAATTTTGCTTGAGATAATATTTTTGTTAAATCACAACAGACACAGAGTGACTCAGTTTTTGGAAAAGTTCCATATCAGGTTTTTTATTTGCTATATTCAGTCCATTCTTTTTTTTTATAAAATATGCAGATAATAGTAGCCCAAATAAATAAAATATTTTCCTGTAAATAAGTGCAAATATTTTTAGGGGCTATATAGGGTCCGGCAATAGTGCGTCGGGCACCTGTAGCTCCTAGAATAAAAAACGTGGGAATTTTGTTTAAGTGCAAACCTAAAGTATGTACTAGGATGTATTTCAGGAAAATATTTTAACTTTTATAGGGTGGCTCAAAAAAGTGTGAGTGGATCGGGATGATTTTTTTTTAAATGGAACACCCTGTATATTATTGCATTTTTGGCTTCCTTTCAGATCACTTTACATAATCTTAAGACATGAGTAAATATATTTCGATAATTTCAGAGATATTGATATTAATAAGTAAATAAAAATTATATATTTTTCAGCCTTTCTTAAAAAAAATTATTAATAATACAAGAACTGTCCTGAAATCAAAACTATATTATATATTTACTTTAGATGGTCTGTACTTACTTTGCTATAAATATGGAAATCGTAAATCATACAGGATGTTCAAAATTCTACGCCAAATTTTCTAAAATATAAAATGATTTTTCTTTGTTTTTTTAAATGGGACCCTGTATATTATTTTTTCAATAGATGGAGAACGTATCTGAAAAACGGCAAAGAGAAAATATGTTTCTTTTATTCAGATCTACCACCCTTTAAATTATTTGCACTTATTTAAGACTCCCTCTGTATATTCCTCATACAGAAGCGACAAGGGTGATTTTTTCGTGTACCAAATTTTAAATGAGTTTAGTTGTAATATTTTTATGCAATAATTTTAATGATACTGGTTGTTAAATTTTGATTGTAATGTAAAAAACTACTTTTTTACGTGTAACAAAAAATTTGAATGAGTAAAGGTGGTTCCTCACGAGGGCGGAAAACGAAATTTCGCTTAAATTTCTTACGTTACACTTTGCGTTAGTTTGTTCCATACTGATAACTGTTTTTTTTTTAACTTTTTAGCGATTGATTTTTGCGGGAATGGGATAGGCAGTGTATGTTAAAAAGAGAACTTGAATTGGGTGGGAATTGTTTTCTTTTGAATTGAGTAGAAGATTTTCTAAGATAATTAATATATTTTGTAGGGTCGTTTAAACACATTTCAGTTATTAAATTATAGAAATACCCTGTTCTTTCCTCTGTAAATATAATTTGGCTTAACCAAATTTGACCTTTTATTCTTTCGTTGTCGAGACAATACAACAAATGCAAAATCGTACGCCAGTAATAATAAGATTGATAAGAATGTATATTATCATTTCGCTATGAGACAAATGAGAGGGAAAAAGTCTTGAAAAAGTAATAAACAAAATTAAAATAGGCTACAAAATTTGATATAACCTTTTTTCGTTCAATCTCTACAAGATTCCCGGTTCCCGGTCTTGGCGGTCAAATTTTGGAAGTTCTTTTAACGCCGCGAAATTAATTTGACACTTAGTTCCACAATTCCGCGCTCGTGAGGCTTAAAGGCACCACCTTAAAGCTTGATTAAAAACGCTGATCTTTTTTTATTAATATATTTATATTTTGTCTTGAGTTTTCTTTGCAGAGTTTTTTTTTTGGAATCTGTATAAAATTTTGTTTTGTAATAGGTCCATGGTACAGCACCTGACATTGCAGGACAAGATAAGGCAAACCCAACTGCTCTCCTATTATCAGCAGTCATGATGCTGAGACACATGCAATTGAACAGTTATGCCGATGTTATAGAAAGATCGTGTTTTGAAACAATTAAAGAAGCAAAATATTTAACAGGTGGGCATTTTTTATTTTATTTTTACATTTGATTTTAACTTTTTTACTATTTTCTATCATCTGTTTTCTTTTAGGTGACTTGGGTGGCAAGGCTAAGTGTTCTGAATTTACGAATGAAATTTGTGACAAAATCTCAAGAACTTCATAATTTCAGCTAAGATAGGAACAAAAGATAAATTTTGATTATCGATTAAAAAAATTAGCAAATGAAAATAGTTAATATTCTTTGGCGGTTTTTTTAAACTTTATTTTTTTAATTAAGTATTTTCTATTCTGGTCATTTTACATAAGTATCATGTGAGATAACAATAAATAAGGGACAGAACGTTGTCAGTATAAAAATCATAAGTTTACAAACTGTCAAAGAATATAAATAATATTTGAAAAGCCAAAAATTGAATTAGAAATATTTTATTTATTTTTTATCGCCAAGTGTAAACCATAGATATACTCTCTCATACATCTCTAGTGACAGTTATCCTTAATACCTAAAACAAAATGTATATTTTTATCTCTTATTTATTCAAAATATTTCTCAAAAATTGTTTATTATAATTCATATTTATTTTAGACAATTTACAAATTAATGCTTTTTAATGTTTGATCGATATATTTGTTAAGCAAACATATACATATTTAAATTAATGTAAATATTTATTTCTTAGTAACTCAGACAAGAATTCACTGGAACAACATTTGTGTCATAATCCAAATTTTTTTCAGTATTGTAACAAATGCTCATCGAATTATTTGGATTTTTTTTGTTGTGATTTATTTCTGTGTTGTTTTTATGTTAAAACTTAATTTATGTTTGTAATAAACAGGTTATCTAATCCTACATAGAAAAATATTTTTTTATTATTAATATCCTGTTCTTAAGCATAGTCTGTCTTATTTAACACTTATTAGAGGACTTATTTCGTATGTATAATATCGTTTTAAAATGTTCAGAAAAGATCCGAAGATAATCTTACATAATAAGAAAATATTCCATTTGCATAAAACGAAAATATCCCACATATTTACAAAAAATATGTGCGGTGTATATAAAGTTGCCTAATCATAAAATATCTTCTTTTTTATTTCTATAGCCAATGTCCAGATCATATAATATCTAACGTTTTTATATCTGAAAAAAAGAAAAATCATATTAGATTCTGACTGGCCGTCGAAAGGCGCGTAGTCATCGTGAAACAAGAAGAAGAAGAAGAAGAAGAAAAATCATATATCAAAACAAAAATACAGGGATGGGCGTAATTTTTTTACATCGTTGTTTTTTACATATCAAAAGATAGAGAGGGCCTCTTTTATTCAGTAAAATGTCCGAACGTTTAAAAAGAAGAGCGTTAAAAGTCACTAAAGTCAGGTTAAGTTTATTTTTATATTTGTAAATAAAAATATCTCAAAAATATTTGTAAATTTACTTTGATAATTGATAGTAATCGTTTAATATCAATTTCCAAATATGCAAAGAGAACGGCGATCAAATGCAGGTAATCGCTTGACAAAATTACTGGACGAAGAGGAAGAATGTCAGGACGAATTTTACAAGCAAAACTACGGCGGCTTTCAAGAAACCGAATCGGACAACGAATACGAGTTTGTTCGTTTTATTTTTCTACTTTCTAACAATGAACATTTCCTATTTTTAGAGCCGAAGAGGAGGGCGAAGATGTCGTCGATTCAGATTTTAGTATTGATGAAAATGACGAACCCGTATCGGATAATGAAGATGAAGAAGGCCAAAGGAAAAAAAGGCGACTCGTTACTAAAGCGTACAAAGTAAGCTTAACATATCTCTAATTAATCTTTAGCGGTATTCTTAACGTTTTATTTATAGGAACCCGTTTCAACAGTAAAGGAAAAACCTAAACCAAAATTAAGGGTTGTTCCTAAAGCTAGAGATACAGATTCAAGCATTTCTTCCGTTACAAATGAACATTCAGGTATGAAGTGGCAATATATTTAATTTTTTTATAGATAATTTTATTTGTTTTTAGAAAGAAAATCTAAACGGAAATCAACAGCAGCTAAAACAGCAGAGACAGCCCATAGGATTAAAGTAAGAGATCAAGAGCAAAGAAAGAAACCCAAAAGAACGAGAGAGGAAGAGTGGATTCCTACACAGGAGGAATTATTAGGTTTGTTTTTTACTTTTTTGTATATTGTTAATATTTCATATACATATATAATAGAAGAAGCAAAAATTACTGAACTAGAAAATCTGAAATCACTGGAAAGATACCAAAAAATGGAGAGTGAGAAAAAAACAAGAAGGGTTATTAAAAAAACTTTTTCCGGACCTGTTATCAGATATACCTCAACCAGAATGCCTTTAATAGAAGAAGTTAACGATGAAAGGTATTACATTAAAATTTGGTAAAACTGGCCTAAGAGTTATATTTCTTAGCAATGAAGTTAAGAAAGAAGAACAAGATGAAGAAACAAAGAAGTATTATGAAAGAACTTTTATCGCTGTGTTAAATGATCCCCATGACTTACTTTTTAAGAAAGTTTTCAATGTCAAGTCTAATCCAGTACCTCCAAAAAAATTAAAATGTGCAGTTACAGGGTAATGTTAAAAGTATCAGTCTTATAATCAAATTTTGATTTTACAGAATATGTGTTCTTTTAGGTTGCCAGCATTATATGTGGATCCTGTCACTTCTGTGCCCTACCGTAATAGTACATGTTTGAAAATTATAAGACAGTCCTATTATCAAGAACTGGAGAAAAATGGAGACAAATCTAATCCCATGGTGGCCGACTTTGTAAAGTGGTATGTTAAGAATAAGGAAAGGCTACGGAGGGAGATGATTTTGCATGCTCAAAAGATAAGTATCACTTCTTAAAAAAATGCTTTTTTATACTTTTTTCAGTTAGGTTCTATTTTCACTGATTTATTTGAGTCTGATTTTATTATTGCTGTATAATTTTTAGTCATAATTAAAAGAGTAAAACATGCGTGAAGATATTAAATTCTGTTTCCTTTTTCTTGCTGATTATTATAAATTTTTTGAATTTTCCAGTTTTATGATGGCTTTATACTAATAATATTTTAATAGGATTAATGTAGAATATGGAGGATTTCATGTAATAAGATTATTTTTTCATATTTATACTTATGTATTTTATAAATACAAATATTTTTGTGAGGGTATGTAATATATGTAATATATTTCTTGAAATACAAAAAAATTGGTAATTTTTCTCAAAAAGGTATATTTCAAATATGTCATAATTTTTATTATTTATTTTTTTACTGAGTTATTACTCCATAATTTGGTATAGGCTTGGTGCATTTCAGTTCATTTCAAACATTCCGACCGCAGCCCTCGATATGGCAGAAATTAGAAGTTTTCGCTCTGTTTTTCACGTAGTTGCGATGTTGATCGCATACTTAAAATATTTAAGTATTTTAGTTTTTAATAGTGCAGTTATTGAACCGACAAAATAGTCCGGTTGTTTGTGTGATGTAACGCTGTTTTGGGTAGTAAAAATTAAGTGAAAAAGAACCCTTTGTGTTGTGACAATTTCGAATGTTAATAAAATTGTCGAAAAAATGTTAATACGTAAAGAAGGGTGTAATTACGTGTTTGTTGGGTGCAATAACATTCAATAACTCAACTTTCTCAGATATTCAACTCTCCCGAAACAACATTTTATAGCTTCACAACTTCTCACACGGATTTGATCAAAAGCAAATATGGATTCAAGCAGCTCGAAAGAAGTGAGTAAACAAAGTGCTCATTACATAATCAAAAAATTAAATAGGCATACCGGGTGTTGCATCGTCGGACAGGACATAGGAAATCCCATGTAAATTTTAATGCGGTCAATTATTGGCTTCCCTAATTATTTTAGAGAATAATTCTATTTAGGTTTATTGAAGAGCACTAAAACTCACATTCAAAAGAATAACTTTAGATATTTTTGATTAGCTCGTTTACGAGTTATCGCCAATTTCTTTTTAACTATTTCTCCTTTCTTATGACCCTGTATTTACTTATGAGCACCAGTCAAGGTAAAAGATAACTGCCAATTGAAGTTGTCCTTTCAGAAATTTACCTATTTAGTGCTTTATTATTATTGAAAACTCATTCCTACATCCGAAATCTTAAAGATATATTTATAAATACAAATTAATATAAATTAAAGTAAAATAAAGTAATCAATTACAAGGTTAATTATAGTATTATTACAATATTCAATAACTTATTAATTTAGGTACTATTAAATTGTTAGAACTTTAGGATTTAAGGAGATGTTCAAATATTCCTCCATCGACAATAACCCAGGCGATCATAAAATTCTCTTCTTACATTCGCTAGTTGGTAAACTGAAATTCTATTGCATTCGGCAGAAATAGCATTTTTTAACTCGTCTAGATTTGGGTATTTTTTTTCCTTGTATATCCTGTTTTTTAAATGGCCCCAGAGAAAGAAATCATTTGGCGAAATATCAGGAGACCTTGCTGGCCAATTTACTGTATGATTTTAGGCCAATAACGTTTCCGTTAAAACTATTGTCTAAATATTCCCGAACAGCCAGGGTACTATGCGCCGGGCAGCCATCCATTTGGTACCAAACTTCCTGATTTTCCCTAGCAGAATCATATAAAGCAGGTAAAATATGATTTTCGAGTAGTTTCAAATAATATTCTGCATTTAAATTTCTCGTAAGAAATAATGGCCCGATAATATTGTGTCCGAATATCCCTGCCCAAACATTTACTTTCTGTGGAAATTGCGTCCTTGTTTCGATAAACCTGTGTTGGTTTTCTTTGTTCCAATATCGATAATTTTGAACATTGGGTTCATTATTTAAGGTAAACGTGCATTCGTTAGTGAAACATATGTTTTTTAAAAATTCCCTATCCGTGTTTGCTCTTTCCATCATCATATCAAAACAAAACGCCTGCCGCCGTATTTCGTCCCCATCTCGTAGCACTTGGTGCTTTTCATATTTGAAGGAATAGTATTTATGTCGTTTCAAAATTCGAAATGTTGTAGTGTGATCTATTCCTATTTCATCCTCAAGTTTCCTTGTGCTGATCTTTCCATCGTTCTCTTCCACGCACAATAAAACTTCCAAGTCGGTATCATTTCTTGCATCTTCTCTTTGTTCCTGCCTTGCTTCACATCTGCAGTTATTTATTAGGGTACCTTTAGTCTCAAATCTCTGGATATTCCTTGCGATTGTAGATTTTTCAGGTATCGGTCTATCGGATACAGAGCAGCAAATATGATAAATACAGATTGATAACTATTTCCTTGATAATACCATTTAATCATCAATACTTTTTCTTTTATTTCATGGCTAATATTTTCGATGTAGGTATGAGTTTTTAATAATAATAATAAAGCACTAAATAGATAAATTTCTGAAATGACAACTTCATTTGACAGTTATCTTTTACCTTGACTGGTGCTCATAAGTAAATACAGGGCCATAAGAAAGGAGAAATATTTAAAAAGAAATCGGGCGATAACTCGTAAACGGGCTAATCAAAAATATCTAAAGTTATTCTTTTGAATGTGGGTTTTAGTGCTCTTCAATAAACCTAAATAGAATTATTCTCTAAAATAATTAGGGAAGCCAATAATTCACCCCATTTAAAATTTACATGGGATTTCCTAAGTCCCGCTCGACGATGCAACACCCGGTATACTATGAGGGGATAAATTATAATTTGCAATTTTAATGGTATATTTATTTTAATCAACTAGTGCTTAAATTTCTAATGAACATCTAAAATCATAATTATGTATCTTTAAAAAAAATCGTTATAACTGAAATAGCTCCAGTTATGTATCCGCTAGCAAAGTCGGTACGTAAAACTATGCTAGCTAGCGTAGTTCAACTAATCTAAACATTTTATTAGCTTGAATAATAAATTATAATTCAAGTTAGACTTTCTGAATGTATCAAAATATTTACTTTTTTATTTTTATTTTTAGAATTTTCACAAATTATACTTCTTAACACTTTTAAAATAATTATATAATAAATTTTTCGTATACTCGCTATTTAAGTCCGTGTATTAGTATATGCCGGTTGTTTACGATATTCTCCATTGGTGGCAGCACCGTCCTATACACCATGCCTATATAAATATTAATTGGTTGTTTGCAAACTTTTTGGTATACCCTGTACAATCAGTAAAAGCAAATTATACAGTGAAAAATCAGGCTTAGTACCGTTAACTTTGATACAGAATCACCCCTATTTTTCTTAATATTCTTTAACCTCAAAATTTTAAAGTACAAAGAGCCATGATTAAAATTCTGAATAAAGAGTAAAATTGCTTATTGATCTTCCTCTACCTTATGTTTACCTCTCTATATCCCTGGAATTTACTGACTTCGAAAGGATAAAATAAAACACAATAATCAACACGTTAAAATACTTTTATTAAATCAATGTTTGTGCAAATTAATAATATACTTACGACATTGAAAACAACACGAACTTATCAAGTCTAAAAAATCTCAAATAGAACGACATTCTATTTGTTCTACATTTAATAATGTCTACATATAAAATCAAAAGGCACTTTATTTTCTTTTTTCTAATAAGACACTTGATATCTATTAATATTAATATGACACATAAAGTTCTTATTTAATACACAGTACTTAATTACTTTTTAAAATTTTTAAATATCGTTTTTTATAGTATTTTTAGTTCTTAAGATTTACGTTTGACTGTATGTGCGTTTTGTTTTATGCAATTATTCTATTTATATATAAATAATTATTATAAAAAAGTGTTTACTGTATTCAGTTTAAAAAAATGTTCAAAAAATCCGCACTTAACCAATAATGAGAGTTTATAGATCCAATTACAGCTCATCAAATATAGGATGATATGCGAACTTCTTGATGCGTCGCTCCTCCTTTGATGCGCATTAGCTAGTAGGGTTTTGATAGATATACAGGGTGTCCCAGGCTGAACGTGCATTAAAAGTTTCTAGAGAACTACAAACTACAATATCTAGATCAGAAATTTTTTTGTACATCGTTGTTTTACAACGAGATCTATCGATTAAAAATATTTTCAATGTGGCGGCACTTCTGGAAATACCAGAAGTTGACAGTAACTTTCTTATTTTAAATGGGTACCCCCATTTTTTATTACATACTTACATTCTCTGTAAAATTCTATGAATATTGATATTAAACACTCTATACCTAACATTAACCGTAAACAAAATTTTTGGACGTAAAAAACTCTCTGTCAAAAGAATGTGATGAGCCTAAAAGTCAAATTTATTGATTACCACAGCCACTATAAAATAAAGAGAAGACATATGGCTATCTATTTCAAAAATTAAATTATTTGAATGTCATAGAATAATGGCGGTAGCTGTCATGGAATTGAGCGATTAAAAAATTATCATAAATATTTTTTCTCAAATGGAACCCTACTTTTTTATATCACTGGTGAAAAGGTTTTTCAATTCGTTACTTTTTGATTATACATGTTCCTATACCTAAAATAAATCGTTTTTATGTATTAGCTTCCTTTGACATTAAGTGTCAAACAATCAGACAATTTATTTCCATCTGTCAAAAAAATAATTATTTGAATTTGCTATATTATAAATACTGCCAGCTTATAAGAGTTTAAAGGTGTATTTATAAAAATATATTCCGTATTTTCGCTCTTTAGTGATATCTTATACTTAATATTATTAATAATATACCGTATGATCGAAAAAAAACGACGCAAAATTGGTTTGGAAATGATGATTGATGACATACTGATTTTTGAACAAAGTGTCACAATATGACATGGCCAAATCAATTGTTTTACATCGCTTGATATTTAAAATCATAGACTACTGGTTAAAATCAAGAAAAATGTACACTTTAAAACTAAATCTTAAATAACTTAAAAACGATTTATTTTAGGTATAGAAACATGTATAGGCAAAAAGTAACGAATTGAAAAACCTTTCCACTAGTGAAATAATAAAAAGTGGGGTTCCGTTTGAAAAAAAATGATTTATGATAATTTTTTAAGCGCTCAATTCCATGACAGTTGCAGCCATTATTATATGACATTCGAACAATTTCATTTTTGAAATATATAGCCCAATGTCTTTTCTTTATGTCACAGTGGCTGTGGTAATCACTAAATTTGACGTTTAGGATATACAAATTTTTTTGACAGGCAGTTTTTTTCGTCCAAAA